CGATGACATGTTACTTATTTTGGAGCTTTGCAAATGTACGAAAAGCCACGGGAGCAGTCATCTTCATCCTCCCACAGTCCCACGCGTCCTTTGGTACGCCAGTAGCGACGACGTGAAAAGTACCGGCGGCTGTAGCGACTGTCGATCTGTTGGAAACAATACATACAATTTACAACTTAAAGTCCACTCTTATCATACCTAGTGAACATAACAGCACCCATCTCCATTTCTCTACCGGATTCGGCCACACCGTTAGCTGTGAATACTATACTATAGCAAGGAACAGTCGTCTGGTTAAAGTGTGTGCTTAAGTTCCATTCTCTTTTCCACAGGTGATGACCATTTATAAATGGTTGTGATAGAAAGAACTTTGCTATTCAGATAATGTCCTTGGTATAGCCTTACTTAAAGAAAAAAAACTAGCAGCACACACCTTGGAGTTCATAACAGAACACCTAGCACCGTTTGGCCGACCCCACCTGGCTCTGTCGTTGGGACCATCAGCCCAGTCCGTGTAGCCCTGCACTTGAGATCCGTCAGACCACATCGAACTTCCAGCCTTCCAGTTGCGTAGTCCAATGTAGGCAGCTGATAGCCTGGCGACTCGGTCCCGCAAGAACGGGTGCCAGTGAGTCCTCCTAGGGTCTGAAGTCAAAGGAAAACTGACATGATCTCTTGTAAAATGTTGATACATGTACCTTAAGATGGAAAGCATCGTTTTAGGTTGGTCTCTTTTAATTTTCTTCCGTTTTCAACAAATAAGGTCAATGACAATGGGGACAGAATGAGGAATGTGAATTATGTGAATGAGACATTGAATTTATATGCATGATTAATAACAAAATACTGTCATTCAAAAGTGATAACTGCCAGGAATTTTATTATAATTGCGTTAAACTATCTTATCTAAATCAGGATCTTATTTGCATAATATAAGAGGAATGCTAGAATTGTTTTCTTTGTTAGAATAAGACTGATAGTTTGCAGAGAATACGGTCAACTGATACAAGCTATGCAAATAAGAATCTTATTTGCATAATCAATGAGAAACATTTATAAGTCTTCGATCATTTTTAAAATTTTATTTGGCCAAGGTATGACGTCGTGAGAAATCTCCTAGAGCCAAGAAAATAAATCGGTGCCTTCGATACCTTCCAGGGGTTGTTAATAAGGCCACAGCAAGTAATTTTTACGGATGACATCCCGCGCGCATTCATTTCGCCTAATTTTGGAAAAAACAGCAAGAAATTTTGTTGCCCTCTAACAGCGGTCAACATGTCAAAAATGGGCAAAGATGTCTGCTGCCATGCCGGAAGGAAGATGGCAGATAACTATGAAGAGAGGAGACAAGAAAAGGCTGTGATTTAATGTTTTGTTTCTTACTTTGATGCAGTGATATGTGATGGTGGCTGTGTATATGTGATGTTCCCACTGAATCAAAATCATTTGTACGATGATTGAGTCAAAATTTTAAATTGTAGGAACCTTTTTTTTGGCTCGCCCGCTCGCATTAAGCTTCGGTCACAACCCGCCGTACGTGCGGAAGGAGTGGCGTTTACGTACGTCACTCGCACGTCACTCGCACGGTTGTGCAAAGTGTAAGAGTGGACGGTCTGCACGCCAAGTCTGGCCGTGAGCGGTTGCGTGCATCGTACGTTGCGCAAGTGGTAAGTGAGCTGTACGTGCTTACAACGTACGATCTCTGTGCGATTGCAACTTTACCGTAAGGAGGCCGTACTCACACGTGCGTCTTTCGTACGGTACGTACCGGGCACGCGCGTCGCTCGTACTCGCACGCACGGGTGGTGAATCCGCAGACCGCACGTAGAAAAAGTTTTACATGCACTTAAAGTTCTACGGCGTGTCTGCGTGCTCCCAAATCCGTAGGATTCCGTACGGAGGCGGTACTCACCACGCACGGATGCCTTACGTTTGCCCACGTTTTTGCACGCAGAAAGCACGCAGAAGCACGTATGGCGGGTTGTGACCGTAGCATTAGATTTGGAGTCTGCGGAGGATGTCATCCATAAAATTTACCTGCTGTGGCCTTACCTACCGTTAGGGATGAGACGGCTGACAAACTCGTTCTCCTCACGGCTGTGAATAGACACAAGATTTGCGCCACAGGCTTTACATCGTGCGTCCGCTGTGAACCAGTCGACTCCGCTTTTCACGTACTTGTAGCAGTGGTCGTTGTATTCGCTCCATCCACTTGGGCATTGCCAGGCTGTAACATGAACTTTTGATCAGTGACTCGTAACAAGGTTTGAACTAGTTACTTTTAAATAATGCCAAAGGTTTGAGATGGATTTTTTTAAATATTATATGGTATGGATGAAATATATTGTGTTCTCTTATGTTTCTTCTCCTTCTCCTGCCACACAGTCAAGGGGATTCAAAAAAATTTTTATGAAGGTTTTTTGGGTCATTTTTCGACAAAAAAAATGGATTTTTAGATCCTGAGCCCTGGTTTTACAACCAAATGATCTGAAATTCGGTATAAGGGTACCTTGAACATGTGTCTACAGAATAGCAGTCACATATTTGGCATACACCAATTCCATGGGGACTTTATGGCTATTTTCACCAAAAAAAGGGCCAAAAGTGCTGTACCCGTTCCACGTTCTATCTAAAGAATGGCCCGTTTCATCTGCCATGGAACACGTGTTCCATTGCGGGTTACCTGGGGTCACAACTCACATTGCACCTAAGTCGTGCGTAATGACCCACACATTCAATTTTATGACCTAAGACCTTCACAATGTATCAAATCTCATCATTGTTAGTATTTGCATACCTGTAATAAGATTAGTAAAGCTTTCAAGATTCAAAGTGTTTGTTCTTGCATCTTTGTTCTCAATTACATAGCTACTATATAATTCATTTATTTGAGAACCTTTGCCAGTTTTGCACTGGGGTAAGTTTGGAATAGTCCCCTTTTGCGTGGGAGGGAGATGGACTGAAATATGCTGTATTTGCTCCCAAGCAAATGTCGGCCTTTCTAGTTTAAAAATTGGGTTAACGTACCTTGCTGACAGTTTCTTCCAGACGGTCCAGGTGTGGACCTACACCTGTGCCTACCAGCTTGGTTCACACAGGTTCCATTTTGGCAAGGTGTCGTCACACACACGTCACTTTCTGTGGGATAAAGAATGAAATGTCACCCAAACATAAAACCCATGATTTTAATTTCAAGAAGGAGTCTGAAAGACATTTTCAGTGTAAAACCCCATGTAATATTTTAGGTGGCGTCGGGTGGTGTAGTGGTTAGAGCAATCGACTATGAGCCGGGGAGACCCGGGTTCGATTCCGAGTCGTACCCGGTACATGTCTGAACATGCGCCCCGACGTTGTGCCCTTGGGAAGGGCACTTAACACGACTTTCCTCACTCCACCCAGGTGTGAATGGGTACCTAACTTCGGCTGGGGAAAGTCGTATTGAGGTCACCTTGTGGCGCCTAATGGCAGCCGCACAGACCCTTGCAACAGTTCCACAAATAATAATTGTGGAACAAATATGTGTATTATTTGATTGTTGTAATTGTTATGATTTGTATTGATTATTATGTGATACCCTGCATCAATTCAGCCGTATAAAGGCTGCGACTGCACGGGTACTGTTTGATTATTAAATTTATTTATTATGATATGCATGATAAACTATGCCACGTGTTAGTACACAGCAGAACTCACTTTGCTTCCTTCACTCACCTTAATAATATGTCAGATAATGCTAAACTGCACTTAATTCTTAGAGGCTCCTCAATGTTACCCTCTATGTACAACTTTAAAACGATGCAACTCACTCAGATTTACATTGGAGATACCAAGCGCTTCTAGCTCTGCTTGACTGTTTCTAACAGTCAATTAGATATAGAAGTCCAAATACTACGTAAGTGTTAATGGGCCTAAATTCTCCTCCCAGCTCTGATTGGCGGATGTTTTTCCGCCAATGAGATATAGGAGGTTACCATGTAATCTTACCTTTCAAATAGTTCTGTTAGCATTTAATTTAACATTTTAATGTCTTGGGGTGGTGGGACTACGGCGCACAGATATGTCAACTTTGTATATTTAAATGTTAATTGTACCTTTTTTTGTTGTGTGGCGCTGTGAATATAAGTTGTTAACTTGAGTGCAGCGTCACACTGTCCTTGTTATGTTTTCATGTTTTGATGAATAAAAAAAAACTCACTTTGCTGACAGTTCTTTCCAGTCCATCCAGCTGAGCAGGTACATTTGTATCCGCCATCTTTGTTCTCACAAGTTCCGTGTTCGCATGGTTTTGTGGCGCACTCATCTATGACTGCGGGATAAAGTAAAATCACCCATATTTTTATTATTCATTCACATAAAAAAATAGGTACAAGACTTGGTGGTCCCGCACTCAAGTGGAAAACACTTATGTTTACGGCACCACTAAATAAATACATATAATCAAGAAAAAACAAACGCAACTTTAAGACAGGCAAAACAGTATATACAGGAAATTCAAAAGCGCAAGTCCGGTTCCCCACCCAATGATAAATGATGGCAAAGAGAGTACACAATACATAGATAGCACAGGGGGAAATTGAAATCTTTTAAAACCGTTCTGATGTGGTGATAAAGTTTTGGGTAAGTGATAATATATTGGAGTTGACAACTGATGAGAATGCGGTACTGCCACGGAGTAAAAGGTCAGTTTTTGCGTTGTCAGAAAGAGTGATTTGTTACTACACAGCAAACTCACGTTCACATCGTGGGGTCGTGTGGCGTAGCGGCAGAGTGCGCGACTCGGAACTTCGAGTCCCGGGTTCGAGTCCTGACATGCCACCGATCTTGTGCCCTTGGGAAAGGCACTTTACACGACTTTCCTCACTTCGCTCAGGTGTAAATGAGTATTGTCCTGTCATGTATTTGTCTCCTGTGTTGGTGGCGGCATTAATATAAGTTGAAAAAAATTGAGTGTGTCGTCACCACGTCTTGTGATTACATGTTGGAATAAAAAAAAAACTCACGTTGCTGACAGTTCTGTCCAGTCCATCCAGGTGAGCAGGTGACACATTTGTATCCACCCTCTATGTTCACACAGGTTCCATGTTCGCAAGGCTTCCGGGGCCGAATATGGTTCCTGGTGCACTCATTAATGTCTGTGTGATGATTAAGACGAAATCATGTTGGCACTCAACCAAGAAGATGAAAGGTCATGATCAATGTCATAAAAAAAGACGGACTTTAAATACAATGAGGAACAGTTGGCATGGTTTTTCTGCTACAATTATTGACATGTATTGTTTGTGTGCTTACGTATACAGAAATAACACTGACTGTTGGCAATTGGGATATATGTACAAAAAATATCTAAAGCCTCCAACAAGTAGTAATATACAACATAAAATATTATGCCATAGTTTACACACACACACACACACACACACACAAAAGCACCAACCTTGCTGACAGTTCTTTCCAGTCCATCCAGGATGGCAAATACATTTGTATCCGCCATCTTTGTTCTCACAGCGTCCATTTGGGCATGGGTTTTTGGCACACTCATCTATGTCTGTGGGCCAGAAAGAAAGAAATATCACCCATATTCAAAACAAATTATTAAATCTCATTATTAGGACAAAGGCACTAACTAAAGAAGGATTTTAAGTATAAAAATTCATGTATGTGTAATATAATATAACGTGGTAATACAATGGTTACTACACAAGAAATTAAAACCTCGATGACAGTTCAGTCCAGTCCATCCAGGTGAGCAGGTACAGCTGTATCCGTTATCTTTTCTCTTACAGGTTCCATGATGGCAAGGCTCAATGGTACACAAATTGAAGCCTGTGGGATAAAGAACAAAACATCGTATATATATATATAGTGTGTTTGTGTGTGTTTGTGTGTGTTTGTGCGTGTGCGTGTGTGTGTGTTTGTGCGTGTGCGTGTGTGTGTACGTGTACGTATATCGGTCGACTGTGTTGGTCACGATCATCTGCCGTTACGCCAAACATATGGCACGCTATTAAAATGTATAACAAAAAGTAAAGAAAGATATGAACATTCATGTAATATGATATACTATGATGTACTATGCTAAGAGAATGGTTACTACACAAGAGAACTCACTTTGGTCACAGTTCTGTCCAGTCCATCCAGGCGAGCAGATGCATTTGTATTCGCCATCTTTGTCCACACAGTGTCCATGTTGGCATGGGTTTGTGGCACACTCATCTATGTCTGTGGGATATCACGCGTATTCTTATGATTTCATGAAGACACAGACGGTTAAGAAAGTATGTAACTCTATGCTATACGATGGTAATACTACACAAAATTAAAACTCACCTATCTGGCAGTTCTCTCCAGTCCATCCAGCGAAGCAGGTACATTTGTATCCGCCATATGTGTCCTCACAGTCTCCATGTTGACATGGGCGTATTTTGCTACACGCAAATAAGTCTGTGGGTAAACAGAGAAATAGCGTGGTTATTAATGAAAGGGACTCTCAACACAGGTTCAACATTTAACATGTTGCGTAACTTATATAAGCAGACCAAGTTTCTAGCCAACTAGAGAACAATAGAGGGACTACTGAAAAAATATTACAAGGTGGGTAAAAATGTTAAATGGGTAAAGCCTACTAATAAAAACACTCTCTGGACCCTGGTGAAAGAAACCATCACCTCGCTGACAGTTCGGTCCAGTCCATCGTTTGCAGGTACATTTCCCGCCGACATCACACAGTGAATATTGGCATGTGTTTTTGGCACAGGCATCTATGTCTGGGGGATATAAATGGCCTAGATATTTATTTTTTATTTTATTTTATTTCCGTCATTTTTATACAGGGTAACCCAATTCAGTGATGGCACTGCTTTTCAACGGGGCCCTGTATTACACAGCACAGTACAACATACAAATAATAACATTAGCATACAAAAATTATACAATAAATAATTATAATGGCAATGATAATAACGAAAACAATAAATAAATTATAATGGCAATGATAATAACGAAAACACAGTAATTAACCAATAACAGTAATAAATAGTAATAATAACAAAAAATACATCATTGTCCAGTCCAGTCATTGTCATTGTCCAGTCCTATATGTTGGCATGGAGGGGTCAGAGGTCAGGCCAATTCTTACATTTCATTTTAAAAATGGACATGGACGGACAGGTCTTAATAGCAGTTGGCAGCCTGTTCCAGAGGGCAGGGCCTCTGTAGGAGAATTTGCGCTTTCCACATTCAAGGCGAACAAGCGGCAGTTTCAAAGATAGGTTCTGGCTGTGTCTGGTGGGGTATCTGTGGGATTCAAAAGCCATCTGGAAGTTATCTATGTAGTCTGGGAGTTCATTGTTGACTGCCTTGTACATTGATTGTAGCAGGTGCAAGTTTCTCCAGGATGATAAAGTTTTCCAACCTAGGGTAGCACACATATTCAAATGAATTTTCATTGTTAAAACAGAGACGGTAAAGAAAGTATGAAAATCTATGTTATACAATATGCTGTGCTAAGTGAATCATGGTTGACTACACGAAAACTCGCTGGCAGTTCTGTCCAGTTCATCCAGGTGAGCAGGTATATTTTTATCCGCCATCTTTGTTTTCACAGTAGCCATGTTTACGTATATGGAATTCCGACACACTCATCTATGGCTGTGAAAAAATGACGAAACATGGAAAGAACGTAACTAAGCATTTAAAAAAGCTGTAGTCAAGTACTAGCATATGAATGATATTTGGGCAAAGCTTAAGGTCACCACAGAAAACATAAACATCTGGATAGCCTAACAGTAATATGTATCATTTACATTGAGTAGTATTGATCAGCACATACTTACGAAAGACCATATTAGGTACAATTTTTTTCCTTCTGTGTGTGTGTGTGTGTGTGTGTGTGTGTGTGTGTGTGTGTGTGTGTGTGTGTGTGTGTGTGTGTGCGTACTTCGAGTTTCTGTGGGTACTTCGAGTTTCTATGTGTAGTTAGAGTTTCTATGGGTATACTCGAAGTTCCCATACAAACTCTAAATACACATACAAATCCTAAGTTCCCATACAAACTGCAAGTTTCCATACAAACTCTAAATGCTTACAGAAACTCACCATAGAAACTCTAAGTACTCATAGAAACTCGAAGTACACAGAAAATAATAATTGTACCTATTGTCTTTCGTACATACTGGGATTATTGAAATTTCAGTACTTGAATGGCCTACCTATCTGGCAATTGTTTCCAGTCCAGCCATTGTGGCAGTTGCAGTGGTATCCGCCATCTTTGTTCAGCACACAGCGTCCATGTTGACATGGGTTTATGGCACACTCACCTATGTCTGTGGGAGGAAGAAGTGGGGGCTTCACCTGAACACAAAGATAACATACAGTTAGATACATCAGGATTTTACATGAACATGAATGCTGACCTGTAACACACGCTGATACATATACGTGTCTGCTGCTCTCACCAGAGACATTTTGTAACTAGAAAGGCCGACATTTGCTCAGGAGCAAGTGTTACGTAGCATGGCTTCACCACATTCCCCATACCAAAAAAAACCCTCCCGCACAAATGGATTGTTCTTAAGTCACCCCTATTCAAAATGTGAAATGTTCCAACAGTCTATACCCCCATGCAGCAATGGAATATTCCAATGCCTTTTGCTGTTGGAACATGTACATTGACAGGATCCATGCCACCCTATATCTGCTTGGAGGCCGAGCCACTTTGTATCTGCTCGAAAATACTCATGCCACCATGTATCTGCTTGGAGATTACAGAGGTCATCAGGTCGTTTGGTTCCCAAAGTTGAATACGTTCAATGAAGTGGCAGGTGTAGAGTGAGAAACACAAAGAAAAAGAATGTTTTGCATCTATATAAATATGATATGAAGTGATATACAAGTATAACTAAAAACACAACAGTTGGATACCGTTGGATACTACATGTAGTAGCTAACATCCTATACATCATTGGTAAGGACTTATATTTGCCTGATGCAAACTGTTGATTTTCAAGATTAAAAAAAGTTTACGCCCCACATTGCAAGAAAGTGTGACAAACGTACTAAAAACAATTAAATGCAGTTCAGCTGTCAATATGCTTTAGCCTCGTCAGGTATTCAATGTACTAGTATTAATCCAATTAGTCCAGCACCCAATCAGCAAGAAGATTACAACTGCCCTACCAGCAGGTGTTCAATGCATTAATCCAATTAGTCCAGCACCCAATCAGCAACAAGATTACAACTGCCCTACCATCTTGAAAGCTTCATGCCTATTGGTTGTTGCTCTCTGCATTCCTTACTGATGAGTCATTGCTATAAGGTAAGTTAACTTCACTATTCGGCATAGAAAACAGTCAAAAAGTCCCAAATTATACAAGTTTAAGGGAGAGTATGCCCACAATTATAATGAATTGTTGTTGGTAGATATATAAAGCATACCTAGACCAAATTTCAGATGATTTGAGTATAATACCAGGTCTCCAGGACCCTAAATGTAAAGATTTTGTCAAAAAATGGCCAAAAAAAAAAAAACACATAAAACAATTTTAAATGCCTGTATCGGAAAAAATGAGAAAAAAAAGGCCTACGGGTATTTGGCTACTCTACCTTCATACCAAATTTCATGTTATTTGTCCCAAAATTAAGGAGTTTAATCAATTTAAAGAAATGGCAGGAGAAGAAGAAGGAGGAGAAGAAACATGAGGAAAAACATGACTCCACCACATAGTGGTGAAGCCATAAATAGTGTTTAATATTACCAACTCCATGATATTAATTACCAACTCTGACTTTTAGAATTCTATTTTGTTATGTATCATGAATTTTATACTTGGATTTTAAAGGCCGCTTTGTAAGCAATGACGCAATTCAGGTGTTGATTTTATATTGTACCTGCTATGTCATTGGAAATAAAATCTGAATAAACAGTAACTTGCACTGTTTTATATAGTAAATTCCAGTCGATTACTGTTAAAATTACCGTGGCCTGCAGCTGCAAGGAAAACGTGGAGTATCGTTTTAATGAACCTACACATTCATTCATGTATACGTCTGAGAGATAAGCGACGGTCACAATCCGCCGTACGTGCTTCTGCGTGCTGTCTACGTGCAAAAACTCGGGCAAACGTAGGGCATCCGTGCGTGGTGAGTACCACCTCCGTACGGAATCCTACGGATTTGGGAGCACGCAGACACGCCGTAGAACTTTAAGTGCATGTAAAACTTTTTCTGCGTGCGACCTGCGGATATACCACACGTACGTGCGCGTGCCCCGCAGGTTCCGTACGTAAGAAGCACGTGTGAGTACGGCCTCCTTACGGTAAAGTTGCAATCGCACATAGATCGTACGTTGTAAGCACGTACAACTCACCACTTGCACAACGAACGATGCACGCAACCGCTCACGGCCATACGTGGCGTGCAGACCACACCCTTACACCTTGCGCAACCGTGCGAGTGACGTGCGTCGACGCCACTCCTTCCCCACGTTTTCAGAAAAACGTAGCAGACGTGGCCTTCCAATACAACGTACGGACAAAAAGCACGCACGACGGGTTGTAACCGAGGTTTAGTGGTGAATACAGCGTCCGTAAGGAATCCTACGGATTTGGGAGCACGCAGACACGCTGTATAACTTTAAGTGCATGTAAAACTTTTTCTGCGTGCGGTCTGCGGATTCACCACCCGTACGTGCGAGTACGGGCGACGCGCGTGCAACGCACTGACGTAAGTAGTACGTGCGTGCCGCGTACGTTGGTTGCGTGTTCCGTACGTGCTTACTCCGCACTTCCCAGTTCACCTGCTCAATGACTAGGCAGAACACACGTGCACCGTACGAGTACCAAGTGCTCCGCACGTACAACGCACGTGAAACGCACTTGATTTCTACAGTATATAAAGACGACTTGACGGAAGGCATCTGCAGCTACAATCAGACAAGACCCAAGGAAACAGACCGCGGAAGACGACAGGGCGGCTAGTGAAGAAGATGTCAAGAGGAGGGAAAAAAATCAGATGGTTCATCGCACCAGACCTGCACGCACTTGTAACGTGCGAGTGCGTAAGGAAACCGTACGTACGCAGCACGTGCAGGTACGGCCTGTACGCGGTAACGTGGCAATCGCATAGAGATCGTAGGTTGTAAGCACGTACAACTCAACTCAATTACCACTTGCGCAACGAACGATACACGCAACCGCTCACGGCCAGGCGTGGCGTACAGACCACGTACTTACTAGTTACACCTTGTGCAACCCTGCGAGTGACGTACATGTATTCCCTCGGCCGGTCACCCTACGTTTTCAAAAAAAAAAGTAAAAGACGTGGCCTCCCAAAAAAACGTACGGACAAAAAGCACGCACGGTGGGTTGTGACCGACGCTTAAGTGGCGTAACAAAAGAAGTCGTAAGTTGAGTGAGCGTCACACTATCCTTCTCCTGTGTGTATTATGCTAATTAAAAAAAAATACTCGCAACTACATGCAACGAGGTGCATTATCTCAAAGTTAACCTTGTTTTGGATAAATTTATCATGAGTACGAACCTTTAGTAATCTCTTGTTATTTACGATTTTGTTTGAGTTTCATAATTTATATGTTTGGGGTTTCCCCAGGACACATTGAACAAACAAACAAATTAACAAACAAATAAACATATGTTACCTCATTTACATATAAATTCATAGTGTTTGGATAAATACCTGCGCGTATTTCCTGTCATCTGGCCCTGTGTCAGATCTTGCATCATGCGCTTCATCGGATTGGTCTGTGACATCGGCAGGTTGGAAAGAGGAATCGGGCGGTGGTGGGAAGGTGTCGGGCGCACTGAGGCTGTTACTCACAACCATTCCCGACATCAGCGCGACCAGAAGCCACCTGGCCATGGCACTCTGAAACGATAACACACAACTTACTCTATCATGAAACGTCATCTGTGTTTGGTAGATACATGTTTAATTTTAAAACTTTTGTTCCAACGTTCTCACCTAGAGATTTCGACCAGTCACTCTGGTCTTCCTCCACTCGGGTCAGTCTACTGAGGAAGACTGAGTAACTGGTCGAAAGTTCACTTGACCAGGCCTGTGCGCTTTGCAGATGCGCACATTGCCCGAGTCCCTCCAACGTCTCTGGCGTGTGCCGGCGCACCGCGCATAGTTATTTTTTTTTATTATTCCAACATGTAATCACCAGACATGGTGACGGCACACTCAAGTTTTTTCAACTTAAATTAATGCCGCCACCAACACAGGGGACAAATACATGACAGGACAATACTCATTTACACCTGAGCTGAGTGAGGAAAGTCGTGTAAAGTGCCTTTCCCAAGGGCACAAGATCGGTGGCATGTCAGGACTCGAACTCGGGACTCTAAGTTCCGAGTCGCGCACTCTGCCACTAAGCCACACGACCCCACCCCGCATAGTTATTGGCAAGGGCCAGGCCAGTCCGACGACCTAATGTCTCATCCCACTTCTTTCTCTGCCTGCCATTTTCCATTTCCCTGCCACCGTTCCCTGTAAGATCACTTTGGAGAGGCTTTTGCTTCTGGTTACGCACAATTTTAGCTTCCCTCATTTTAACGAATCTCTAGGTAAAAACAATTCTCTTGTGTTGGAACAAAGTTTTAACTTTTAAGTTTTTAAAAGACGCGTTTTACTCCTTGTGAAAACTTAGCAGGGTGAAAATGTATCAACAATAATTCTATCAAGTATAGTCGCACAGATTAGCCTGGGTACCATCCGGATTTTCGTTCCGCAACGCCTCGAAAAGGCATGATTTTTTTCGAGCGTTGTGGAGCGAAAATCCAGGCTAGCACAGATGGCTCTAGCTTATACGTGAAAAATAACACCTTAAAATGCAAAGGAGATTTGTCGAAAACTGAAGCACACCGTTGAATACTTACTGGTGGAGTTCACGACTCTACTACAGGACGCTTTCTTCAGACCGTTGTCTCAGACGTTTTACAAGATGATTTAGAACGTTGGGAAAGAAGAAACCGCAACTTCGCCGTATGTGTACGTGGCACTTCAGAGGCGAGCTTCTTATAATGTGCGCTATAATCTCCTACTACCATGACAACCAATGCAATCAAGTACAAGTTCCTCCGGCGATTAACATCAGACTATCGTGAATGGTGGGAAAGGGACCACCAGAGTGGCCACTTACGAAACTACATAAATATGTAAGATTCGTTACGTATGAAGTCAAGGCAAACCTGTCCTTACTGCCTGTTCAATAGCCTGGTATCCAGTCTGATCGTGGTCGGGGCCGAAAGAGCTGTGTCCCGCCCGCCTTACATAGGTTTCCCGGTGTGTATTTCACGAGAGATTGATTAGCCCTCCACAATCGTGTTGGGGGGAACCAAATCCCTAAGCATACTGTCTCTTATTAGCGTAACTCTCCTACCGGGACGGCCTGTTGCACTGGGCGGGGGAAGCTATTAGCACTGCTTGAAAAACCACGTTTCCAAGAGTTTCCAGTCCCGCACACGCCCGTGAAATTCGCCGTGTCCTGGTCGCGTCCATGGATTTCCGGGCTCCGCGTGTACGGCCCCGGATATTTCCTTACACTCCCGGATTCGTGCTCGCCGTGCACGTGCACGGAAATTTACGCCCCGCACACTTGGCGTGTGTTGGGGAGCGGCTAACAATAAGGGGTAATTAGGTACTGCGTGTATTCATGTTTCAGGTGATAATTACTTGAACCAAAGTTGCCAGCACTTTAATCTAAGCAAATTAGATATAGAATGATCAAGGATTGTTAATACAACATTTGAACCTATGCGTCCCTGGCTTGATTTATCGTGATGTCGTCCATACGACAAAGCACATTTGAGCGTAGGGCGCCCCGACGCTGGGGTTATATAACCTACTCGGTCAAAATGACCTAAATCTACACTCCGGTCTAAATCTGAATTTTTTATTTTGGAAATAATAGTTTATCCGTGAGGTTCATTACCATGATGTAATCAAACGCTTGACTAAAGGGGTTTGAACTAACGTGACCTGATCAGTTTGTTATGATTTTTAGGTACATGTATGGGTAATAATATGCAAGCTTTACATTGTAGTTCGGTCGATGTTTATTGTGATGTGTCTGACATGGCGTCCGTTTATGTGCATGTAATCATGACGAATTAGAATTATGAAGATCATTTGTCTGCCTTGAATAAATACATTCACACAATCAGAAACATCCTATCATCCAAGTGTTCAGACTGCACAGGCGATTTAACTTAAAACCTATAATATAAAAACAAGATGGTTGTAGTATTGAACGCGATCACGTGATTATATGACTGACGACCAATCCTACCTCGCTCTCGCCGGGACCAGCCAATAAGAGACGCGATGCTTTGTTTTGGTGGGTCGCTTGAATCTTGCTTTGTCACAACGACGGTTTGCTTTTTCAAAACACGTTTGTCTCGGCTTGCAAAGATTACTAGTATGTTCCTGAACTAAATTGCGTCAAACATTCCGTTCTGTTACTTCGTTTTCGCAACGGAAGAAATGACTCTACTACATTGAAAGGACAACACCGCAACGAACCAGCAAACCGACAGGAGGAAGGGTAAGCTAAAACAAGGATACTATTATATATACGGCACTATCGTTACATATATCTTAAACATGTTGTTTAAAAACCTTGGCTAAGTTGTGCCTACGGCAGAAATATTTATTTTGGAAAGAAGTGTACACAATTTTTTTACTGATTAATAACATAGTTTATTATTTCTACTTAGAAGTACATCGATATAGTTTGTATGTTGCTCACAACATATGTACTTTTTTCAGGCGCGGATTTGGGATACTTTGAGACGATTTGAAGAAACTTTATCGCCAGGCTGTCGGAGAGCTCAGAAAAGAAAGAAAGAAAAGCGACTGCAGTCACACAGAAGAGGGTGAGTCTATGCAAATGTATATCTTTGCATACGAAAGCCGACAAGGCTCTTGACAATTTGAATTGTTTTCATTACCGAGGGAAATGTTGTGTTTGTATTGTTCCCATGATTACAATGAAAAGAAACAGGTAGACGTTGATGCTTGATGAATGGAGCCTTTTCACCTGGACAAAATTGTTGCTGTCTGACGTTAAAAACATTCGTTAAAAATGATAAATGACTTCTCCTCGAAATGTGTCCATACAGACGTCCGCATCTTTGCCAGGCTTGTTTATAAAACGTCTAGTACATGTACACGTAACTTCAAATGAAATTCAAAAATGCCTTCGACTTTTGACTTAGATTTTCGTTTTTCCATGTCCTGCAGGCCAGGCTGGAGGCAAACAGGCAGACTGCACACCCAGGCTCAGATCTAAAGGCGAGGGTGCTGTGTTAAAGCGCCCGGCAGGCTCCGACGACCCAGGCCGGCCCCGCTGCACTCCCGCCCGGGGTGCACCCCGCGCCCAGCACGCCGCTCCGGCCTGACTGCGATCACAACCGACACCAACACCACGCCATCCCGCAGACAGACATGGGGCAGTTTGTCGATCCTTCCAGGATGAAAACATTTCGCTATGGTCCCCTGAAGCAGGGGGGGGGGGCATACCTCCTGGCCTTCAATCTACAACTAAGCCTCATTTTGTAGAGGCGACAACGCAAACTTTACGAAACCGACAGCTTGTCTTTAACGACATTGTAAATTGAATACGTGCTCATGTAATTAATTTCTGAGCAAATGATCTTTTTTTGTAATGACGTGATATTGTTTTCTGCCAAGCCTCATTTAACTTCACGTTAGGTCTGCAATTATGTTTTTGCTACACGTACATGTATTTTGAAGAACTTTGTTTGAGGCCTTCTTTGTTTATTGAAAATTTAGTCTTTTGACTGTTTGTGTAAGCGCCATTCACTTTCATGATCTGAGGGCTATTTTCCTCTTTTAACCTGATGATATGTCAGTATTAGTTACTTTTTGACATTTTTGCTAAAATGGACTTCTATTTGGAGGTGACTGTGATGAGATGTGATGTTAGTTTACTTTTTAAAGTTAGAGAAATCTGTTAATTACTAGTAATTTCTGAGTTTACACCGGGTCCAACGATTTTAAAAGTCTAGTCCCTGGAAGTCTAGTTCGGGAAAAAGCTATTGTTTCTATGTTTCGGCTACACATTTTTGTAAAGTACCAGGTTACATTATTGTATAGTGTTAGCATAGTGCATAACGTGTATACACTATACATAGAGCGTTATTTTTGTCAGTCTGTAAATGGCGATCCTGTTTATACCAATAAAACGATGAATGAAGTATAAACATGTATTACTTTTTTTATGAATGAAATGTGTTCCTAAAACATCGAAATGTGTCCCGGGAGCGGGGGAAGCGATTTCTCGGGAGCCGGGCAGCAAAGCCCCGGGAGCAGGAAGGGGGGTCCCCGTAGTGGGTGCAGTGGGGTCCCGAGAACGGGAACAGCAGGCCCCGGGAATGGGAGCAACGGGTCCCGGGAACGGGAGCAACCGGTCCCGAGAGCGGGGCGGGTTTTGGCCGGGGGGGGGGGGGTGTAGTACCGGCATGTCCGACCCGTACACGGCGAATTTCCGCTGCCGTGTGGAGAATAATTAGGTGATAATTGCCGCTAAATTATGCATATTCCAGCAACGCACGGAGCGGTGCACGGCCATTTCCTGCCGTATACGGGGATGTACAGGGATCGTGTCCGGGCATATAACGTCCAGTACACGACCTGCACACAAAAAGTGGTTCATTTCCGGGAGTGTACAGGACATGTACGGGACTGGACACGTTTCGTGTGCAGGTCGGAAACCCCCGGGTTCTACCGGAAACCTAAAATATCCGGGAAAGTGTGCGGCAATTTCTCACACGGAAACGGGGGATTTTGTGCCGTGTAGAGCCCCCGAAGGCACAACCTGCCTGAACACCCCAATACCCCCAATCACGTAAGACTGGATACCAGGCTACCTGTTCAAGGGACGTGCAGTGAATTAATGTCATTACAGATGACAGGTGGCCACTATTGAATTCTTGTTTTTTTTTTTAATTTCAACATGAAAAAATACAATACATAGTGGTGACGCACTTAAGCAACGTTGCTTATTCACGTCACCACTAGACAAAAAATAATTTTTTTAAGGATTCTTGTTACTTGGGAGAGACGAGGACTGAGTAATATCATCATCATCTTGTCGTGAGAGGTTCGCGGATGTTCATGACTTTCCTCCGTCAGCCCTCCCTATCTTTCATAGGACTGCATCAAGTCAGCCGTATAAAGGCTGCGACTGCACGGGTACTGTTTGGACAATAAAAACCATTTATTAAATAGCGGGTCATAATGTTATGTTGTATTACTGATGTAAAATGTCTTACCGATACGTCAGCAGTACGTACTGCACCTGCGCGAAACCGGTGATGTATTCACCAATTTCACACTTCCCAGAATGCCTAGTAACGGTCACGGATATGCAGGGATATGACGTAAGACCATCCCCCCTCCCCCTTCCTCGATGTAATATTTCCAACAAATTCTATCGACAAACTGGTCAACTATTGTTTTGAGTTGATTTATCTAGTATAAAGCACATGCCATAATTGCATTTTTGTTGGAATTAGAGAAAATGACGTACCTTCTATCGTTCCACCTTCTATCGAAGACTCTCCTACTCGCACGGTCGCATGCATTACCGACTACGAGAGTCTTCGGTGCTTTATACTTGATAAATAATTCAAAACAATAGTTGATCAGTTTGTCGATAGAATTTGTTGGAAATATTATATCGAGGAAGGGGGAGGGGGGATGGTCTTACGTCATATCCCTGTATATCCGTGACCGTTACTAGGCATTCTGGGAAGTGTGAAATTGGTGAATTGTGAAGAGCACTTTACAGACAAACTTTCTTGGCGAAGGCAATAAATATAAGATCGTACTCGCGCATATTTAGTTAACATCACGTCTGGTTTTTTTTTCAAATGTTGTGTATCGGAAAAGATATCGTCTGCAACAGGCAAAATTCTAAACCAACTTTGACCAAACATCCAACGAAAACCGTGAAAAATCGGGGCTTCGCGCAGGCGCAGTACGTCCTGCCGACGTGCTCTTGTGAGGTATGACGTCATAACCAATATGAAACGAGGACTTCTGATTGGTCCACTTGCTGTATGATAATGGCCCCAGTCAAGGATGGAGGCTTCCTGCTGTGTGGATAGAAAGTACACATAAAAAGAAAAAAATAACAGATAAACTAAATAACGTACAAATCGAGAAAATTCAACAATAAGAGTTGAAAAAAAGCTACTACGCTTCTGCTGTGAAACATAACTAAAGCAATTTCAGATTTCAAACAACATTAAGGGGAATTATTCACTGCTATGCTCCAATCGTAATCAAATCCTACCAGAGGAAAGCTCTTTGTTCCTGTTGTTATGAGTTAATCCAGCTATGACGCAGATCTAAGTACGGTTAGGCCACACCAAGTAAATTTTATGGATGACGTCCTTTGGAGACCATAAATCTAATGCGAGAGGGCGAAAAAAAAACAAGAAGGGCCCTAAAAAACAAGATGCCTAGATTAGAAATATACTAAGAGACGACAAATGTTAGGACACAAATTGAATGAGATGACACAGTGTAACAAGCAAGAAGTTTTTTATTCATCATCAAAACAGCAATAAATCAGGTGGAATAGCAGTTGTCGTCCTGTCCTGTTTTCGCGTTACGGGTTTCACGTCAATCTGACGATTTGCAACACTGTCGTGACTCTTTGGTCATAGTTACAGGAAGTGGAATTTCTTGGGTTTTTTTCTAGGAACAGGCCAAAATCAATGCGCGCGCGGACGTCATCCATAAAATTTACTTGGTGTGGCCTTATCAAGACAGCCTGTTCTGACAAACAAAAAGGCTTTGTGCAGCAGATCTTTTGGTGGCTAAGTTCAATACAGTGTTAAATTGGCAACGCAGTATGAAATTGGCCGGGATCTATCCAATATGCCACACAAGGGGGCAAAATAGAATAACAACCATGATTTGAGACTACATGTAAAAAATGTAAAACCTGCTTGCTATACCTTACACAAGGCTACTTATAGTAGCACGGGAGGGAATTCCGAATGACTTGTGTTTTTTTTATATATAGGCCATGTTGACTTGATTATATGGATGACATCCTCTGGGAACCCCAAACTGATGCGCGCGTGCGAATAAAAAAAAGTTTTGCAAAAAAAAAATTGTTTTCACTATGAAATCTACGTGGTCATGAAGGTTGAACAAATGGCACAGAATATGTTATGGCGAATAATCTACTCTTCGAATTCATTTCTTTACATTTTTGTCTTTTTTCCTTGGATTTTGGCATTCTACAACATTGGTATCGTTTCTAAATGTTTTCCTTGCAACTTATGGTATATTTTTTCTCATGTAGCAACTGTTTTGCACGATTTACAGTATGGTTGAAAACTTTTTCTTTGGAAACGGCCGAAAATTCATGCGCGCGCGGATGTCATCCATATAATCAAATCAACATGGTCATACCATTATTAAAAGATTGGTAAACATAATGCTAATTAATAGTGCCATTTCAAACCATTGAATATCACTGTAATAACTTACAAATATTTGAAGAGCAATGAATTTTCTAGGTGACAAAGGTTGTATGCTCCGCCTTTTTTGGTTGTTACGTACGTATATACGACTTTAAGTACTTCATTGTCGCCCCAGATGTCTATTCACATGGCACAGGCGTTTGTATTTCTCTTATGTGTGACTGGACTGCCAAATTTCCATTCTGTTCACATAGTTACGGTGTGTGGTTCATGGTATGTACGCTGGGTCATTGTCGTATAGCCTTCGACTCTTTGTATATCATGCAAAGAGTCTACCAAAATCTTCTATATGGAGCTATATTCGGCATCTCTGAGGTTTAGGCCACTGCAAGTAAATTCTATGGATGACATCCTCCGCAGACTCCAAATCTAATGCGAGCGGGCGAAAAAAAAACAAGGCGGGCTAAAAAAAAAAGGTTCATACATTTCAAAATTTTGACTCAATCATTGTACAAATGGTTCTGATTCAGTGGGAACGTCACATGTACACAGCCAGAATCACATATCACTGCATCAAAGTAAGAAACAAAACATTAGATCAGAGTCTTGTCTTGTCTCCTCTCTTCATAGTTATCTGCCATCCACCTTCCGGCACGGCAACAGACATATTTGCCCATTTTCGGCATGTTGACCACTGTCAGAAGGCAACAAAATTTCTCTTTTTTTCCCCCAAAATTAGGCGAAAATTAATGCGCGCTGATGTCATCCATAAAAATTACTTCGTGTGGCCTTATAACATCATAATAGAGGCATGGACATGTTTCATAACCTACGTCAGTGTAGTGATATAAATCTTGAAATCTTTTGTAACAGTAGGGTCACTACACACTCAAGGCCAGCCTAGCATAAAAGCCACCGACAAAACATGTGGATTGACGTCTAAATTAAAAGCATTGTATACCCCTTTAAGTGGCTGGACAAACAACGCTGTATACCTGACAAAATGGAGATAAAATAGTGCACGTATTCACCTTTGTTAAACCTCCATTCGGCACGTTTCTATTCCTAAAACCACGGGAATTTTATAGCTGTCGTTATTGTTAATCATATGGGAAACAAAGGCGTGAAACAGGTTCTTCGTTTCATGTAGGTCCTGTAACAGCTGTCACATGTACGTCTTTTCCACGCTCATTTTTCACGCTTTAGTCTACGTGAAAATCAGATATAGCACGCTGTTGTCATAATAGTGAAACACGCTACTGGTTGGAGTCTGGACGTTATCTGGACCGAGTGTTTGAGTAACACAGTTTGGTGCTATATTTGGTGAGTAAGTTATGAGCATGTTTGCTGTCAAGTCTCGGTAGTTTATGGACTTACATAACGCTGAGTTGATACAAAATGTGAGAGAACGTAATGTATCAGAACAAGGAACCGTGTAGTTCCATGTCAGCTCATTTTGATCATAGTTTCTTTCGTTCTAGGTACGCAATGCGTTTGGATGGACTGGATACAGCTGGCAGCCTCCACCGCTGTAAGTTGGTGGTATAGCCGGGCGACCATCTCTTGAAAAATGGCTGAGGACTACGAATATTACGGCAACACCAACGCGAGTTTCTCACCATGGACGCAAGCGAACACTACAAGCGTGTACGACCACACTACAACAGCAGGTTTGGGGAACGGTATGGATGAGTTTAACAAGAGTTTCGCGGCTACAGTCGGCAGGAGTGTTGTATTGGCGGTTGTCCTGTTGCTGTCCCTGGTTGGAAACGTTCTCGTTTGCTACGTTTTCGTCAGGAAACCCGTCATTCTAGCGGACGTGGGGCATCGCTTCGTCCTTAACCTGGCCTGCTGTGACATAGGTGGGTGTCGTTAAAAGTAAAGAAAGTTTATTGCAAATACATGCCCGAGGGATAATTGCAGTTACAAACAACATAAGAAAGAAAGTACAGTGGTATGTGAGACTATATCTACGCCCGTAACATTATACTATATTCAACAACATACATGGTACTAGCTATAGTTTTACTGGGTTTGAGTTCTTCTTTTTTAAAAATAAGAAACCTTTTTGCATTGACCATTCAAATGATTCTACAAATCATGTATCAGGTTCAAGATTAACGTTCTAGTTTTCAGTTGAAACATAGAACTATTTTGCGCAACGTACGTACGGTTGTACATTAGGTACTTGCAGAAGATACAAATGTGCAGCAATAGTCTAGTCTATTCTAAATCTTTCGAGACTGACTAATAGACAGAGAGGAGAGAGAGAGCCTATTCTAAACGTAGTAAGAAGTAACTCGACCTAGCATCAATTCTTAGAGGCTAGTGTATATGTAATCTACATACTAGCAGAAGAAAGTACTGAAAACTATTAGTAAATTTCAACATTTTCAATGTGAGGTTTAACAAAATTGCGAATGGCGTGATTTCGTACAACTAGATATGAACATCAAATTTGAAAGAGCCTTTACATATCGGGATCGCACTTACTGTTTATTAACTTACTATAAGTTTAGACTGCTTAGAAACATTTTAATTTCCTAATAAACAGGTAGTAATACCAGGTTGTAATCGGTGTTATGAATAATGTACCGCTTTAATATTGGGTTAAAAATATGAGGAAAAATGCGACAACAACAAATGGACGAGCATGTAATTTCATCTGTGTTGGTACAAGTCATTTAAAAAAAAAGACTAAACTTTAACTTCCAACACTAACTAACAAAGTATTGGGACCCAAATTTTTGGTTGACTCCATCAAGGTTTCGACCAAAAATTTGGGGTTAGTGTTGGAAGTTAACGTTTAGTCTTTATTTCATAACAAATGGAAGAGGATAGATTATTTGTTCCAACTTAACGAGCATTCGAAGAGCAATTCAGAAACTGTATGATATAAACATTTTTTATTCTAACATTTCATGACAAGACATGGTGACGGCACACTCAAGTTATTTCAACTTATTGTATGCCGCCACCAACACAGAGGACAAATACAGGACAAGACAGTACTCATTCTCACTTGAGTTAAGTTAAGGAAAGTCGTGTTAAGTGCCTTTCCCAAGGGCACAAGATCGGTGGCATGTCAGGACTCGAACCCGGGACCTCTTGGTTCTTAGTCGAGCACTGCCGCTACGTCACACGACCCCACGAGATCTCGTTTAGTTTCTTCAACACTAAATTTAGTGCTTTGCGCTTGTCGGCTTGAAAATATCCTTGTTACTTTGTTTACCTTTGCCGCTCACAACAAACATGGCCCTCCTCGACGAGCCTTCCGCAAACAACATAAGTGTTGTTCCGATAAAGGAAGCGGGGTCCAGGGGGTACATGGATTAGTTTATTGCCGGCAATGTTGCTGGTACCAGGACATAAAAACACGGTGCTGTAGTGTATACAGGAGATCAGTTTCTAAGTAACAAGGCGGGGAATAAATATTTACATGTCTCTGTAGCCGGGTGCTACTCTCCAAGCAGAGGTTTGGCGGGTTTGGGGTTATTTTTAGCGTGTTTTTAGGCTTTTTTATCGGGGTTTCTCTTTTGCACTGAATTGTTTTTTCTCATCAAACCCAGTCTTTCTGACTGGCTGGATGTGTGATAATCCACCACAGTAAAATGGATATCCCTAATGATAATTTGATGGTTCCCGGGGTGGAGCACTGTCACCTTTCCTGTATAGGTTTGCCCCGCCCCGGGGTGAGTGCCGGCAGAGGTTGGGTTTGATGAGAAAAAAAAATTCAGTGCAAAAGAGAAACCCCGATAAAAAGCCTAAAAACACGCTAAAATAACCCCAAACCCAAACCTCTGTTTGGAGAGTATCCGGATGCCAGTAACTGCAATGTTTTGCAAGTTGGTTTGGGTTCTATGGCAAAGGGGGAAAAAAGAAGTAGAATTTGGCCAAATACATGTACCTCCTCAAATCTGCTTATACTTTCCTTTTGAGTCCCGTGCTTTATACATAGATGTATGGCATATTCTAAACGCTTCTAGTATTTCATTTTTATGTTTACCGAAGGGAAACATATTGTTTTTACTCAGTTTCTTCCTCTTCTGTTCCAAACACTAACCTCTGACCTGGCCAATGACATGATTTGTTGACGTCTGTCACCATGGTGACTGGTGTTGGGTTACATCATGTTGCAATTTCATGGTCTGCTCTACTCCTGTCACCATATACTAGTAGTACATGTATGTGAATGAGTAAAAATTAACAGGGCAGACCATGTCCGTAGGTAAACATTATGCATTTGCTTTGCAAATGTTACTTCTCTAGTATTTCATTTTTTTACATGAAATAGTACTACTAGTTTTCATAAAAATAACTGCGTTTGACCCCCACCCCACCCTTCCAGGTATTACTCTTCTAGTCATCCCCTTCTCTCTGACGTCATCCATCTACAACCAATGGGTGTTCGGTCCTGAGTGGTGCCAGGGTCAGGGGTTCATCGGTAACCTGCTGTTCTGTGCGTCCATCCTGACGCTGGCCGTGGTCTCCGTGGACCGCTTCTCCGCCATCCTACGGCCGCTGCAGTACAACAGCACCTTCACGTCCAGGTGATTTTTACCTTCGCCAAGAAGGTTCAGTAGCGTTTGTCTGTGTGTATGTGTGTGTGTGTGTGTGGTTTAGCAAGATAACTCGAGAAGCAGTGAATGGATTGCAATGAAACTTGGTAGGTAAGTAGGTCTTGATAAGACCTAGAAATGATTTGATTTTGGGCCCCCTGGCGGCTTTTCTAGGTACTGCAGCAGAACGTCCTGTTTTGATATCTCGCGATTTGGACATGCTAGGGTCACGAATTTTGGATGGCAGATAGCTCTTGGGATAGGGAAGAAGTGACATGAGTTTGGGTCCCCTAGCGGCTTGGTAAAACTGTTATGGCCACGCCGACTTCATTTTATGGATGACATCCGCGCGCGCATTGATTTTCGCCTGAAAAAAGAAACAGTTAGAAGATCACGTCCTCCGAGGCTCTGGCCTGGCTCTAGGCCTGGGTAGTCCATGGGAGATAGCGTCAATACGGAGCCGGTGGTAACTCTGGAGGATGGCATCCAGGCTACCGAAGCTCTACGACTCAACAACTCTGTATATGTACAGTGATTTTTCATAAATTCCGCAAAAAGCCAGCATGTGCCGGCTTGTCGTATACGTCGCTATGTCGCTATTCACAATACCAGCTTTGTATTCCTGTTTTTTAGTAGCATTTTTATTTTTGGCCGAATTTTTTTTATTTGCCCGCGCGCACTAGTTTGGGGGTCTTCAGATGATGTCATCAATAAATTTAACTCGGTGTAGCCTAATTGCCATTCCTGTATATATCACACTTTTCTCATCTTGATGCATGTTATTGTATGACATGATATTCCACTAATAAGTGGAGATATGTATTGATAATATGTATTTTTATTGTATTTACCTAACTAATGTGTCAAAAGAAAATTTTATCCTTGTAATTCTGTAACCAGTTATGTATAACGTATTTCCAGTGCAATTCAGTGCCTGTAGATTTTTTTAGCGAGAAATACACCAATTACTACTAACAGTTACTACTACTACTACATCTTGTGCATCAGAAAACCCCAAATGCACCAAAAAGCACCCATGGGAAACAGAAGAAAATATTATATTTATTTAATCGTCAACAAATGCAATTTTCTTCCGTTTCCCATGGGTGCTTTTTGGTGCATTTGGGGTTTTCTGATGCACAAGATGTATAATATCACCAATCAACAGAGTTTGTAGAAAAGCACTTTAGTTTGGTGAAGTTTGAGCACCATTTTTGAAGCAATTGTTTGCATAAATGTTTATGACACAATGTAAGAAGTTGTACATAAGTTATAAAAGTCAGATAGCCTCATACACTACTTGAGTCCTTTGATAATTCAAAGAACCAAAAATTACTGGTCAAATTGTTGCCATTGCTGCACTTTTAAAGGAAACATGACAAGACTATATGCCTGGTGCTGACAGTCAGCCATCTGGGACACGTGTTGTGGAATGTGTATTGCAAAGGATGATGGGATAGTATCATTTCCCCCCCTGACTACTACAGGTGGTTCGGTCGGCGTCATCGCTGCAGTTTGGGTGACTTCCGCATGTGTCGCTTTACCACCGCTGGTCGGGTGGGGGAGGTACGGCTATCAGGTCAGTAAACCAGAATCATTTCTTGCTTAACAGGGTTTATGATATCAAAATTAGAAAGTATAGGAATCTTGTTTTCTTGTGCCCGTCTTGTTTTTTTTTCGCCCTCTCGCATTAGATTAGGAGCCTGCGGAGGATGTCATCCAATTTACATGCTGTGGCCTAAATGGATAATAATAATAATGATAATAATAATGATAATAATGATAATAATAATGATAATAATGATGATGATGATGATGATGATGATGATGATGATGATGATGATGATGATAATGATAATGATAATAATAATAATAATAATGTTTTTTTTCAGGCCGCCAAGTTTCACTGCACGTTATCCTGGCTGGAAGACAAAAACATCAGCTATGCTCCTTTCCTAATCGTAGTAGCCGGGGCTGTGCCTATCGTGGTAATGTTAATTGCCTACGGGTGGATAGGACAGACTGCCTTCAGCCACAGACGCCGACTCAACAGGTCCAGCTTATACTATAGATTTGTTTGTTTGTTTGTTTGTTTGTTTATTTAGGAAGCTCCCATTAGTGATATGAATCTTTATTGCATGTTCTTGCCCAGATGGGCTAAATGCACAAGAAGACATGCAGTATGCAAAACATGAGTATTGCATACTGGGACGCTGTATTCTAATGCTAATTGCTAGGAATTTATACATTATAACAATACTATATACTACCTATCATCTACTGTTAGTTGCCTTTTTAGTGATAATACATCACTATTCTTCCTGAAGTCTTTTACATAAAATACAGCATTGTATCATTAACTATTATTTACATACAACTTTAACTACTATCAAAAAACTTATCTTATCAACAAATAGACAGAAAAAAATTAATAAATATAGTCACAAGTAAATCTAGTAAACCTTTGCCAAAGACAAACACAGACATTTTCAATCTACTTATGTCATGCCCCGACTCCATATCTATGTAACAATAATAGGCCAATACGTATGTAACGCTTTAGAAAAGAGAGAAAGAATTGTGACAGACAGAAATGCTTAATGTACATCATGTCAATACGCCGTTTACGTTGTAGTTTTGGTTTCCTAGGAATTGACTAGTATGATTGTAAAGACCACATTGTTATCCTTGCCATACATTGTACCATGTACAACTGTAACCTGGGTGCCAGCCAAGTTTACGGGCCGCTAGCCGTTTCCTTCGGCAGCCAGAAGCCCTTCGCCCGCAGACCTAAATTACCGCTGCGGTGGAATTGAGCCCGTGGGGAGGTTTCGGCCCTGCAACTCGTTTGTAGGGCCAGCCAAACTCCCCCCGGGCTAGACTCCCCCGTAGCGGTAATTTACACCAGCGGGCGAAGGACTCTTGCGGCCCGGAAAACGAGTTCTGGCTTCCAGGGTAGTACAACTGTCGAGCAATAAAGATAATTCATTCTCCGTTCATTCATTCACAGAATACAGCCACATTCCTGTAATAAAGCGACGAGCGGGCCCACGTACCGCAAACAAGACTGCAAAGCCGCCAGGACGATTTTCTGTATAACCTCCGGGTTCGTGGTGTGTTGGGTCCCGTACCTCGTGGTCACGAGCGTGGAGCTAGGCGGTCTGGAGGTACCGGCAGACGTGGAGACGGCGGCGGTGTGGCTACGCTTCATCGCCTGCGTCGTGAACCCCTTCATCTACGGTTACATGAACCGGATCATCCGCAAAACGGTTTGGAAACTGTTTAGAAGAAAGGCGGTGGATCAGGGCACGATTACGACTGTAGTAGGGACGGATGATCTCTGGAACTCCGCGACGGCTGCGCCGGCACAACTCACGGCAGCGAACACACAGACTTCCCGGCTCTCCAACGTGAACTTGATAAACGACAGAGCCAATGCGGATAACAGAACAGTCAGAGAACAGGAACTGCGGAGGAGTGACACTGTTGTAAGGTTTGCTGACGAAGCGGACACGATCGTTGCAGCGCCGATAGAGGAACACAGTTTAGACAGGGAGGTTTCTGACGAACAGCGGCCAGAGGACCTACCAGGGGTCCCTCTGCCGACACCGTCTGAATGAGCCGCATGTCAATCTTGGGGATCTTCGAGAAGAGCGGCCAGAAGACCTACCAGGGGTCCCTCTGCCGACACCGTCCGAATGAGCTTCATGTCAATCTTGGGGATATTCGAGAAGAGCGGCCAGAAGACCTACCAGGGGTCCCTCTGCCGACACCGTCTGAATGAGCTTCATGTCAATCTTGGGGATCTTCGAAATTCGTCGTATTTTTTTATAATAAATGTGTCAATCATTGTTCAAAGTGTCATGAATATTGTTATATGGTTTATAGTAGCCAGAAACGGAATGTTTGTGGGGTCGTGTGGCGCAACAGCAGCGTGCGCGACTCGGCATCAAGAGGTCCCGGTTTCGAGTTCCGACATGCCACCGATCTTGTGCCCTTGGGAAAGGCACTTTACACGGCTTTCCTCACTAGACTCAGGTGAAAATGAGTATTGTATTGTCCCTGTGTTGGTGGCGGCATTAATATAAGTTGAAAAAAACTTGAGTGTGCCGTCACCACGTCTTGTGATTAGATGTTGGAATAAAAAAAAACGGAATGTTTTAGTTTTATTTTGTGGTTCCCTGGTTTGAAGGTAGACAACATGTTGGAAGAAGCTCTGGGTTCCTTCAAATAATTATATAAATGAAGAGGCAAAATCGCTTGGCACGGTTTGTTTACGTACATAATCCTTTATTGATGACTAGCAACCGTATACATGTAATGTTACGTCATCGCTATAATTAAAGAAAATGGTCTCCAGTACTTAGGCCTTGTTCATATGAAGTCACACGAACCGCGATTAGGGTAACTCGCATACCTCACATCTGTTCAACGTGCCATACATTCCTTTCAAACCGTGTCCGATCACGATTCTCCGAAACTGCATTCATTGTTGTTTGATGAAAACACGCCAGGTAGCGTGTTATTAATGTCAGACTGTCAACGACCTGCTTGCTGGTGCCCCCCTCCCAGCGTATCTCGGCCGAATGCCGACGTGGTCCCGCCAGAGGCGGTGAAGCTCGCCCTAGAACGGACACATTATTTGACCATTACTGCTTTAAGTTGCTGCCACCTAAAATTTGATATTGCATATAAATATAGAAATATCACCCCGTAATCCATGACCAGGCGAAGTCACATTGAAATCACATTGCGTTCAGACGCAAATCGCGATGTGGGAAAACCGATTCGAAACCACCTCTAGAAGTGGTTTGGGATCGAGGCGCTTTCAATGTAATTTGGAGTGTTCAGATGGGGCCACTTGAAACCGGCTTCGGGGGAAACCACTTGTGAAGCGCCTTTACTGACTTCATATGAACAGGGCCTTAGTTACACTCTGTTATTAACAGCTGTTTACGGACGTTACGTTTCTCAAAGCAGGTAATTATAAATACTTCTCCAACTCACCTGGAAACCAGGTGTCACAAGGTGTGAGTCAAGGGAGATCTGAAATTGACAACACCATTGAACTACGTCGTTGCGATGAAGTTAATCATTAGCTCGAGCATTCTCACCATTTGAACGGCTCTAGTGGAGTTGGACGCACACACCGACTCTAACGGGTAGGGGTTTTTGATTGTAAGAATCACTAAATTCTCTCCTTATTATAATAACTTCTTGAACTATTGAAACATTATTTTTTTCAGATAGAAGTCGTCTGTTTATACCTTTTATTATTTTTTTTTCTAGATTTGCGTCATTCTTGTAGCTATGGTATATTGTACTAGGTGTTGGTGGGAGGTTGGCTGGTGGTTGGCTGGTTGTCTGAAGTAGGTCGGGGCGTGGTTGGTATTGAAATTTGACCCAAATTTAAATCAAATTCAATTCGATTCGTATAGATAGGCAGGCCTGGTCTGATTCTGGTCCCGAATTAGCCTGTACGAGGTTTTGGGAGACGGCTGGAAAGTAGAAACAACGTTAAGCGGACATAGAAGACAGTTTTAAGCGTCTAAGCTGCTAGTACATCTTCAATACATCTACATAACCAGGCCATAACGGTGCTTTCAGGAGTATACGTTGTCATTAAACACATAGACAATTCTGAGCGATGAAGACATTTGACGTTTCCCCGACTGCGGCCAGACCGGCAGGCCAGCGCCAACCGTCGCCATCTTCCAGTCAGGAACCGCCGATGTCTAAGGTAAACAATGTTTGTATATTTGAAACATAAGTTCGATAAACTTTCCAATGTATAGCTATATAAACGGATTGGATTATTTCAAAGCAAGCAGCTACAGGAAGACATATTTCCACGTTGAGATAAAAATATGAGATTTGTAAAATCTGGAGAAAATTTCGGGGAGTACTTTGAATAAATCTAAAATTTTGTATTTTAACGTATTCAAACAATAGCTTTTTGTTATGTTTTACATAGAACAATACGCAAATTCAAATTTATTTTGTTGTCATTTGGCGTCTTTCCTAGTCGTTTATATATTAGCAATACATAACAACATAAATATATATATAGCTACAGCTACTATTACAACGTATGGATACAACAACAAACACTGTATGACAGGTAATTTTTGCGTCAGTTACATAGTCTACTGGATGACACCTGGACAGACATACTCTTGTCAATACGTAGGACATCATTTTGTTGTTGCTATAGTTACTAATGAGGTAGAATTACTGGTTCAATTACATAATGAGGTCCATAATGCCGCGTACTTTAATAACGGGAAAACATGCTCCATGTTGAGTTTTTCAAAGGGCACTGACCCTTGGCCTTAGCCTCTACCAGGCTTCGGGAGGCGGCTGGAAAGTGTAGAAATCGCCCAAATAGAGAGATAGCATCGGGAACGGCAAACTGTTCTTTCCAATAGACCAACTCCCTAGCCTTGGCATGCTATCTCTCTATTTTGCCGATTTCTACTCTTTCCAGCCGCCTCCCGAAGCCTGGTAGAGGCTACCTTGGCCTTGTTATAGAAACACGTCTATACACATTACTTTCGTCGTTAATTTGAGTTTGGATATATAGATGTAATGTTTTTTTGTCCGTCTTTTTCCTGCTAAGATGCCAGACGTCTGGACCAGACTGCTGCAGGTTGTGTGCATGTTCGGCGTAGTGTCTACTCTCGCCGGGGTCAGCATTCTGTCAGGTGAGGGCCGCTAGTTTTCCGTGAAATAAAAGTATGGTTTGAAAGACACACAAGCATTTAGTTTTGATAACCATCGCTTTCTTTCAACTTGACCAAAAGATCAGTCTGCGGTAACCGAATTCCCCAATCAATCAATCAATCAATCAGTCAATCAATCAACCAATCAATCAATCAATTAGACAAAACAAGCTCCGAACAGCAACAATTTTCATCTTTTGTGTACATGTTACATTGTAGGCAGGTTCCATACGCGCCAACCATCGCTCCCTTCCAACCTGACCTAAAGATCAATCGGTGGTAACCAAATTTCCCCGCTATACTACATTTAAATAAAATACACAGAAAAAACACACCCAAAGCAATAGCAATGTACACGTACATGTACATGTACACAGTTGCTTCCCAACCTTCATTCACATGTTTCCGAAAATAGTTTCATCAGGTTGGTAGAGAATAGGATTATATTTTGCGTTCTCGCCGCAAAAGCGCCACCTACATCGGCTACATATATATAGAGGCAAGAAGCAGAACTCCAGTCATAAGCTCTAATGAAAATATCTAATAGATACCGAAACGTAAGCAATATGGGAATAGTTTGTTTGTGCAAGAGAAAACGTCTATATCCTATACATTTGCATGATTACCTCCATGAAAAATGGAGGTATTGAATTGTTTTTGGCGTGTCTGTGTGTATGTGTCTGTTGTAAATTTGTGTTTGTGTGTATTTGTGTGTCCGCACATTTGTAGTCAGCATAACTTCAGAACGCCTTTATGGATTGTAATGATATTTGGTATGTTGGTAGATCTTAGGAAGACAAACTTCAAGGTTAAATATGGGCATCCTGGTGACTGGTCTTGGTACTGCAGCAGAACTTCCGGTTTTTGTATCTTTTGTCCTCAACATGCTATGGACTTGGATTTTTATATTTTGCCATTAGCACAAGTCAGCAAAGTGCGCCAGGAACAGGCCCGTATGAGCCAGGAACAGGCCCGCGTGTCCGCCGAACTGTCCCGGCTAGAACACGAGGTTGTGGCGGCGTTAGAGGCTACCGTTGCCGCCGTCCAGGCACAACAAGCCGGCGACGCCTTCGTCCTCAGAACCAACCTGTCCAGTCTACACGCAGAACAGCAACACAACTACCGGGTACTAGATAACAAGAATAACGGTAAGAGCGCCATGCATTTTCTGCAAAAATTAAGTTGTGAATACAATTGTGTTGGACATTACCAACTTTCGAGCAACAGTATTCCAGAGCGCCATATATCATCATCATCATAGCTTGTCGCCAATCCACTCCAGCCAGTTCCGCGCTGCTTCATTGGCCTCCTGGAGATCTGTGTCTGTGCAGGTAGGACCAAGCCTGCAACCGTGCATCAGGTGCTGAATGGTCTGGGGGTCCCCTCCACAGCTGCAAGTTGTACTGGTGGACTTGCCCCACCGTGCCAGGTTGTCCCCTGCCCTGGCCACCTTAGCCCTTGCCCGGTTCAGGGCCACCCAGTCCCTTCTGCGCAAGTCGGTCCCTGGGGGCAGTGTCTCGCTGGGGGGAGGGAGTGCCCTGTTGTTACTTGGGTGACTCTCCTTCCACAGCTCTATCCTGAGGGTCGCTGGTGTCATGCCCCCGAGGCCTCGGGCCGTCATGAAGCTGCGGCGGGATTTCAGACGTCGGGGGACCTCCTGGTGTCCGTATAACGGGTGCCTAGGATCATTGAGCGCCATATATGATCTAGTGGAACGGTTACTTAATGGCCACCTGTTGTTATTTGCATATAAGGCCACACCGACTTAATTTTATAGATGACATCCGTGCGCGCATTGATTTTCGCCTGTTCGCCAAAAAAAATCACGTCCACCGAGGCTCTGGCCTGGCTCTAGGGTAGTCCATGGTAGGGACAATACGGAGCCGGTGGTACCTCAT